AACCTATGAATAAACCCAACCTTCAGCTTACAAGTTTATGTGTGCAATTTCATTTTGTATAACAAATTAGAAAAGTAATATAAGAGAAAAAAATGATGCAAATTTCCAGGCCTTTAACAAGGATGAAAAGTTGGGAAAGTAGAATTGTACTTTTCTAATATTTGCAAAACTAAAACAGTTTTGAAAGTTTCTTTCTTACAATTTGTATTCATGAAGATACACTCTCCACTCTTACTCTCCTATAAATCTTAAGCCATGTGTATTATGGGAAAAACTGACTGAAATAGGTTGAATGGAAGTCAAAATAATTTACATCTAAACAAAAAAGGTAGAAAACAGAGTAATAAAAAAATTCCAACTGAATGGGGAACTAAGATATTCTGTTTTCATTGTACAGTATTATCTTCCCCATTAGTAGATTCACTAATACACATCCACAGAACAATAAGCACCAATGTGATCCAAACAAGACTTCAATATAAGTATCTAATTCTTTGTAAAATGACACTGACCAGCATGATCACAGAGTTTACATGTCCAGAAGGTTCAGGATCTCAGTGTAATAAAATCCAACAGAGGAAGAAGCTGTATCATATCTAGAAATTAAATTATTCTCCACAAAAAGGGCTACATATTTGTGTGCTGCTTAGTGGTCAAAAAAGGCGAATATGAAGTGTTATTCCATTGCCTTATCTTACATCTTGTATTATCTGTTCTGTCCTACTATCTTTATTTGTACTGTTATCAAGACAAATTTTGCCTGTCACCAATTTCCTGTGCTTTTAGTAAACTCTCCTTTTTTAAAGTTTTCTAAAGACTACTTTGTTAAGTACAGCTTAGTTTTTTTAAGCCCTTAATTTTAAGTACATGCTTTTAAGTACCCTTGTTGGAAAAAAATGTATAAATATATATAATCTTCTTGCTGTATACCCAAAAGAAACAACATTCTTTTAAATTGTTCAGAACACTTTTTAAATGGAGTAGACAATTTCTAGCATTTGTTAATTTAGAGGTAGACCCCCAAACGGAAAGAAGAAGAAACAAAATTATGTTAAAAATGAAAATGGAAAAACCTAAGATTGCTACATATTGTTATACAAAATCAAAGATACTTCCCAAAACAAAACAGGGAAAATCCAAAGAACACCCTCAGATTTCCTCATAGGCATCCTTCCTCACAGCCTTTTTAAAACATCCTGGGGTGGTGGCAAGGAAGGCTACTCACAAGGCTGGGGACAGAAGTCATCAGGACACCATAATCAATGTACTGTGTAAACATCACAGAGAAGAGATTCCAACTACATGTATGGCTAACTATTCTCAAGTCAGGGGTCGCAGAAGCTAAGGTCCTAACATTTGGATTCTTTTTATATTATTATCTGGGTCAGATAATATGCCTTCAGCCAAAATCAAATTCTCTTCACCGTGAATAATATTCCTGTACCCAAATTCCTATACAGGAAGCCCAAATTTCTATACACATCACTGAGAATTGTCCAAACCCAAGTGCCTCAAAAGGTCCTAAGTCCTCAACTCATACCCAGGATATTTCAAATAAGCTCAGAAACCAGGACTGTGAGGGAAATATCTAAATCTGGAGATTATAAATGCCTATCATTGCCATTTCCAGAGAACACACCTGAGACTAAAACCTTGGAACAGAGGAAGGCAGATTACAGAAAAATATCAAATCTTCATTAAATATTAAAGGGAGAAAACATAAAATACAGCCCTAAACTTCAATTTTTATTTACTTTATTCTCCCTTGCTTTGTTTCTTCAGACATACATCTACATTCCACATCAACAACAACTTGGGACTCCTGGTCAACAGAAAAAAATAACAATGTGTACTTAATGATATGTGATGAGGAACTGATAATTTCAATATCCAAACCAGTTCCTCTTAAAAACACCAGTCCTCCAACTCCATAAGCCTTTTTATTACTCATATTCTTTCTTTATTATAAATGTAAGCAAGAATTTATCTTCAAGACTAATCAGATTTCTGCGGAGTTGTAGCAGTCATTTTAATAAAAGCAGCCCAACACACTAACAGTCACAATCTGGTTTGCAAGTGCTCACAATCATTCTATTTGCTCATCCAGTTGTTGCTGGAATGACAAAGACAGCAAAGACAGAAAATTTTATATATATTAAGTGACCATATTAGAACTTAAACTTTCCACGTTTGTGTCTTCAAGCACAGAAGATAACTCTGGGTTTCTCCATTTGTAGCAACACCTAATTTGGCAAACCCAAAAAGTTACACTGTCTTTGATAAAGGCTTTCTTTTTCTGGAGAGGTCAAAAGATTTCTATCCAGCTTCAGTCTGAAGATCTTGGATCAAAAGAAACAATATAAATTCTAATATATTAAATTTTAAAATGGGGAGGTAAGCCATAGAAGGGGTGTTGGCCTTCTTGAGCCCAGTGCTTCCCTGACTTTCACAAATGAGTCATAAACTTCTAGAGGGAGAGAGAGGGAAAAAGGGATGGGGGGGAGAGAAGGGAGAGAAGGAAGGAAGGAGGAGGTGGAAGAGAGGAAGGGGAGGGAGAGGAGGGGAGGGGAGGGGAGAAGAAAAGCAAGCAAGCAGGCAAGTAGATGCCCTGGCCTACCTCCCATTTGACCTGCTTTGTTGCCACTCCTGTCTGGAAGCCTAAGGGAATTCAAGGAGAAGACAGATTCTGGAGCTGAGTAACACCTAAGTGCTGTCTGCTCCACCTAGCTTCAGCCCAGCTATAATGCCATAGTAAGTGCTCGAAATATGTCAGCCAAGCTAAGCTGTTAAGGAGCAGGCCCAGCAGTTTTCTATCTTCCTCCAAGAGGATAACCAAGTCCTAAATTGCCCGCAACATAAGAAGAAAATCCGCATGATGGTAGTTTATTCTAGTCTTTAATGGTCACAATCAGCTGGCAGAGGAGACATTTCCACCTCTCGTTTATCATGCTTAAAATTCTCTCCTCAATAAAAATCCATTCCACATTAGGGACATGGGAGTGACACTCACATTGAACAATAAGGACTTAAAAAGGGAGTTTTACCAGTTACACCAATTGAGGTCCCAAGGGAATGTCCTTCTCACCATCACCTCTCACATTAACAGGATTAAGTCCTTTGGAAAATCAGTATAAAAGCAAATAAAGTCCAGTTCAAGCAAAGGGACAAAGGATATAGTAAATGTGGTTCTTAGTGTAGTGCTGGAGATTAAATAACATTTCTCTTCCTCCCCGCTAAAGCACATATTACCTCACTGAAAATATTAAAACCAATGCATTGTAATCACTTTGGCTATGAGCCTAAATATATGTTTCCACAGAAAGTCTCAAATACAAAGTTTTGTATTAAAAAAACACCACATAAATCTAGCATTCTCCCTTCCCCCATCCAATGTAATCTGGCTTTAAAATTGTTAAGAAGAATAAGTTTATAAATTTGAACAAAGTAAGTTTCTGTATGTGCCCATCCACCTCCACAGAAAATGCACCAAAAGCAGCAAACTTCAGAAAATACAAGACTTTACTCTCAATTGCAAAACTGTGAATTTCAGAGATTAGCCAGCCATATCCTAAATCAGTTGGCTACTCAATTTCTTCAAGTAAAATGAGAGTAACAGGCATCTCCTTTACCTTAAGATGGAGCTAGTATTGACTTGGCATCATGAAGAAAAGCAAGGCATCTGATTACACTCCACAGAATATACTGAGTATTAACATCTCAGCTTTTAATTGGCAGGGATTTTCAGCTGATTTTCATCTATGTTCCTCCACTCAAGCCTACAAGTATTCTATGGCTTGTGTGAACACCTCGGCCAAACAAACACCTCGGCCAAACAAATCAGAAAGTCATCTCATAACCCTCAATTTCTCACTCCCAAGGAGGCTGCTCATAAAAAATTATCTCATTTGATCCCATGAGAGGATCTCATCTCATGCTCACGCTATTAGGCACGCAAATTGGTACTGACACCATTTTACTCAAGAAACTGCAACTCGAAGAAATAAGGGCCTTTCCCAAAGTCAGAGAAATCAAGATGTCTGAACCAGGACCAGAACACAAGTCTTCTACCTACTGCCCCAACATTCCTTTCACTCACTATATTTGTAGATATACAGTTAGAAAAACCTAATATCCACCAAAATCTGCAAACTTCTATAATATACACTTGTGACTACAACATTCTCAGGCAGATATTCAGCCACATACCAGCTATGAACATCAAAAAACATCTACACCAAAAATCAGCTAATGACCTGCTTATTAAAACAAAACCAGGACTTGCTTACCAAAAACAAAACCAGGACTCAATTCCTGGGACAAGAGGGGCTGCCAAAGCTGTATCTCAGAACTACCATTCATATACATGCCCTAATGACTAACACCCATTCATTAGCATCAGCCCTACCTACACAACAAAAGAATCCCACTTTTGAAAACTTGCCAACTCTAGGTTTCAACATACAACTATGCATTATTTCTCTGGGAAAAAAAAATTACCCTATGAGGTTAAAAAAAAAAAAAGACAAATTATTTAGAATTCTTTGTAAAATTTACACTGAGAAGATACCATTTCTTCTCAATAATAGAGTAGCATCACAGAAGCAAAGGAAATTATGGAGTTAGAGATGGAAGTAGATCATAAGTATGATATACCTTATCTTGACAAGATTTTACTCTTAAAAACAACGGCCCTATTAAAAGTAGGTAACCCATCATGATTTTATCAAAGTACCCATAATTCAACTGATGAGAAATAAATCCCGCTAAGGACACATCTGCAGTTAAGTTAGTGAAAACTGAACTACTGAATAAGAGAAGCATGGCCTGTTGCTCAGAGAAAACAGGTAATAGCTAATGTGGCAAACAAAAAATTCCATAAGAGATATAATATTTTCTTCACCTGGTCTGCTTCTCTCCAGCTAAAGAAATCAACACAGAGGGGAAAAAAAAGACAAAAACTCACCTTCCCAAACCAAGAAACAAACTATCCAGACACATACCCTTCATGATGTTGAATCCCAATTTAGGAAACCTCAGACAGCTCACGGCACTGTCTCATCCACAAGGCTGAGAATACAAGACTCTGTCCTCCAAAACTGAAAGTATAAATTTTATCACTAAGTTTGGTATACCGTCCCAGAAAATACCACCTTCTTCCATGTCCACACCACTAAATAACTACAGAAAATAATGACATGTTAAAAAAGATCACACCTCTGTTTCCTTGACATTTTTAAAAGAATAGCTGACATATATAGCAAACATAGACCTTGAAATGGGAGATGAATTAAAATAAAGTTTTAAACTACAATAGGTTAATAATAAATAATGTACTCTATAAATAAATACTCTGTCAAAATTCAGGGTATTTGATGATAGAAATCTAAGGAGGAAATGAATTTTTGAAATGTCTCAGACAAAAATAAAACTAAAAGGCTATAATCAAGAAAGAAAGGAGATGGGCAACTCTTTTTGTGCATCTAAGCCCCACTTCTGAAAGAACAGCTGTCTTTGCTCAGCTGTAGGAAAACCACAGGACTTGGAATAACTCGTTTAATGTACTGTCCTTCTTCTGTTAAAATGACACAGTTGACTCACCCTCAGTAGGATATGTGCTTGGTTAAACTTGTTTTTCCAGTAACAGTAATGAACTGAGTTACTCTACTATTTAAATGATTTGCATCCCCATAACTGAAAAAAATATTTGGAAACGCCTACATATCTAATATGCTTGTCCTTGAGTAGGTCTGGTTTGACTATGCAGCCAGAGCTTTATCCCTCCCTAGAGTCTCTCCCCAAATGATGATGAGTGTTATTCCTATTTTATTGCAAAAATGGAAATTCTACCAATTATCTGAAGAGTCTTCCACTGCATTTACTCAGTGAATCATTGTCTTAGCTAATCCCCACAGTCCTGGGCTTCCAATGTCTGAAATGAAATAAACTGTCTACTTTATTTTTCCTACTTTTAGTTACATGAACTGCTCAAATTTGGGTGATACTACAGAAGGCCCACACCAAATCCACAACCCTTGCATGCTACCAGCATCATTCAACAAGGTCCTGTACGACAGTCTGGTAGGTTACCCATTCTACTGCTCTGTCATTTCTAGCTTGCTTGCTAGCTAGTTAAGGCTGAAAGAATTAAAAAAAAAAAAAAAAAAAAAGTAAACTTTACCAAGCCCTAACTCTAGATCATGAACCAACCTAATCACCACATGGTGGGACGGGAAGACTTAATAACTTCAAAACAAGGATTTTTTACTTATACCAACCCAGACAATGAAAGGGAGTGTTAATTCTCCTTACGTCAAAAACTGTATCCCTTCTCAAGGAGAGATACAACTTAATTCACATATATCTTCTATCCATATCTTTTCTACCTTGAAGATACAGTTTTTTAATTGACAACTTTAACTCAAAATTATTTTGCAAAGGGATATTAGAAACATGGGGAGTAAAAGATAATCTACTAACAAAAGAACAAATAGCTTAGACATTAAACTCTTCAATTTACATTCTGGACCAGTGGTCTGCAAAATTAGGTGTGTGTATCCCAGAGGTGGGGGAGGTGTAAGACCATCCACTGGGGCTCTGGAAGAAATTTTAAAACATCTCCATATTTATGGTCTAAAAAACATATAATTAAGCTTTACTTAGAGTTAACATACGCATATATGGTTTAATAGTTGGACATTTATATAAATGTTTACTTGTAGGAGGAAGGGTTCATGCTTAAAAAAGGTTTTTCTTGGGGCATATATTTTTAAAACATTTGAAGGGTCCTGCTTTACCCCTAGATTTCACAAAGTAGGATACATATAGCCTCATATACACTATGCCAGAAAAATGCAAAGAAACTGGATAAGCCTGGTATATCTTCCTGGCATCTCTATTTCACTCGTTCTAGGGTAAGTGACATCCATTCTTCTCTATAATCAGGTACTTTGCAAGACACCTCTGGCTAACATGTCTTTAGGATAAAAGAGGCCACAAAATGATGGCCTGGGTTCTGGGTTCTATGCCTGGCTCCCTATCATCTAGTCATCTGACCAAGCGCCAATCACTTGACTCTTCCAGGCCTTTTCGGCTGCTTCCTCCTCAAATTTTGTGATTCACAAGTTAAGTCTTTCATCCCATCTCCAGCTGCTTCATGGCCCTGCACATGTCATTCTAATGAGAATGTAACAGCCACTCCTCTCCACCAATCTCAGCCTCCTTTCCCGCTCTGATGAGGCCTTGACTTTGCATTCCCTTGGTTTCCCATGATCTGTTTACATAATGTGAAAGGGCACTTTCTGGAAGACTCTGTAAGTGTTCTCAGGCTATTGCCAGTGTCCCCCAGTACTCCTGGACAGACTGTAGAGCTCCTTTGGCTAAAGTGCTTGAGGTAGCATTCTGCATGGGGAACCAACATGTCACCATGCTGTGACCATGCGGACAATCTACAGCTCAGCCCCTGATCCAAATCAGCAATATACTAATTTTAAGGAAAAAGTAACAGAAACCAGAATCACCTACCTAATGAAGATATTTAATCTAGTAAAAGAAAATGAAGCTGAGAACATCCACAGGTAAGCCAGACTGCGAGGAAAATAGCTCTGAACTCAGCAGGAACAAAATAAGGAACTGGGGAGAGTACAGAGAAGTGATAAGTCACACTGATAGGATGCCCTTTCTCACTCAAAACAGCTGAGGTCATATCCCAGGCATGGCCACTCTATCAAAATAATTAGTAGTTAAACAAGTTAATATATGCAACATGCTTACAGCTTGGCACTATAAGATTATTACCCTCTTTCCATCAAGCACAGCAGAATTAACAGAAGAAATGTAACATTTTTATCTGCAGACTTTGGAGGCTCCAGGGAAGAATTTTCATCTGCTCAGAGCAGGCTGAGATTCAACTTCCCTTTTCAGGTTTCACCAACATCCTGAAAGGTTTCATAGCTTATCTGCCATCATGTGGAAAGATAAAATTCAATTCGCAGGCATTTCCAGGCACACTTCTAAGGAAGTGCTACGGTGTGAAGGATAAAGCAGTGGACCAAGGGCTAAGAATTCGGACATCTGGACTGGCACAGTGGCTAACACCTATAATCCCAGCACTTTGGGAGGCTGAGGCGGGTGGATCATTTGAGGTCAACAGTTCAAGACCAGCCTGGCCAACATGGTGAAACCACATCTCTAGTAAAAATACAAAAAAAAATTAGCCAGGTGGTAGTGGCACACACCTGTAATCCTGGCTTCTCAGGAGACTAAGACAGAAGAATTGCTTTAGCCTAGGAGGAGGAGGTTGTGGTGAGCCAAGATCATGCCATTGCACTCCAGTCTGCATGACAGAGTGAGACCCTGTCTCAAAAAAAAAAAAAAAAGTCATCTTGTCTTTGTACTGTCACTATTTTTGTGCTCTTGAAAAATTACTTACCTTTCTCTTTTTTTTTTGAGACAGAGTCTCTATTTGCCCAGGCTGGAGTGCAATGGTGCAATCTTGGCTCACTACAACCTCTGCCTCCTGGGTTCAGGCAATTCTCCTGCCTCAGCCTCCCAAATATCTCGGATTACAGGTGCACAGCACCATGATGGAGTTTTACCATGTTGGCCAGGCTGGTCTCAAACTCCTGACCTCAGATGATCCATCTACCTCGGCCTCCCAAGGCTGGGATTACAGGCATGAGCCACCATAACCGGCTGAAAAATTTCTAACCTTTCTAAGGCCTACAGTTTGTAATCTGCTTTTAAAAAATGATTAGATGACCTATGGTCTCATAGCCAAGAAAACAGTAGCTTACAAACATGTTTTACTGTGATGTACAGTGAAAACATATCTTGTACCAGACCTGAATATTCACATATATATGTGCATAGCAAAAACAAAAATTTCAAGAAACAATGCTTATGCATGCTACGTGAACTCACTATTCTACCCTTTTTCCCCCCAAAGTGCTGTTTGAGACCCACCAAATTGGCTTCATGACCCACTTGCAGTCATAATCTGCAGTTTGAAAAACACTGGACTAGAGCATGCAGTAAAGAATGTGGCTTCGCAATCAGACAGACCAACCCTTTTTTTTTTTTTTTTTTTCGTTTTTTGGAGACAGGGTCTTGTTCTGTCACCCAAATAGATGTGCCATGACACAATCATGGCTCACTGCAGCATCAACCTCTGGGGCTCAAGCGATCCTGCTGTCTCAGCCTCCCAAGTAGCTGGGACCACAAGTGTGCAACACCACACCTGGCTAATTTTTTTATTTTTCTGTAGGGATGGAGTCTTGCTATGCTTCCCAGGCTACTCTTAAGCTCCTGTGTTCAAGCAATCCTCCTGCCTCAGACTCCCAAAGCACTGGGATTACAGGTGTGAGCCACCAAGCCCAGCCCCAGGACACTTTTAACTAGCTGCATAATCTTGAGTAAATTACCAACGTTTCCAAAGTACATATTTTAAATAAAGACTAAAACACCAGGGTTTTTTCTAAGGATTAGATGAGACAATGTATGTAAAGCACTTAGCCACACTGTCTCTGACACAAAATACATACTCAATAAAAAGTTATGGTGATGACTAATAACATCAATATCATTATTATTAAATACAAGGATTCCAAAAGAAAGTAAAATAAGTGGGAGAAAGCTAGAAAAAAAGGAATAGGCTTGCCTATAAGCATCAATAACCAGTAGGACTGTTGCAGGTTTATCCAGTACTATGCTTATTGAAGTTCGACCAAAAAAAGGGGTTTTGCCTACTTTCTTCACAAATTCCCTAGCAACTTAAGCAGTGCCCAGCACATAATAGGTACATATATTTGCTGAATGAATGAAAACATCTGGAGGCCCACCTCTATGCAGTGGAGGTACTGTGAAGGGATCCCAGCCACGCCTGCATTGCACCCCTGCCCAAAAATTCAAACACCTTGAAGTTGTTACAAGCCAGTGGCTCTCAAAGTGTACTTCCCAAAACAGCAGTAGTATTACCTGGACACTTTTTAGAAATGCAATTTACCAGACCTACCAGATCAGAAACTGAGGGGGTGAGCCCAGCAATCTTTGTTCTAAAAAGTCCTTCAAAACTTGATGTGCACTCAAGTTTGAAAACCAGCATTACAAACTGTGATGATTTAGGGACCAATAGCAATTCCAGGGAGATATATGTACAGTCAAAGGGACTCCTGCAAAGTTTATTGATCCTAGGAATTAGTCACTTACCCAGTTTAACCCAGACTTTTCAGAGTTAGCTGCAACTTCCAAGGAAGTTACCAAGAATTGCTTCTCCTCTCAGCTTCTCTTTAGTGCACCAATAAACCCTAATGGACAGAGACTCTCTGAAACAGCCACTCTAATATTCAGCACAAAGCCTGATTCAAAAAAAAATGCAAAACCTACTTGTTAAATGATCTTTTATCTAAGCACATTCCCTGGCTCACACTGTCCATATCAGAACTTCTGGAATGCAGGCTCAGGGTGCTTTTTCAAACTCTACATTAGTTCTCAAAAAACGAACAAGATCCCATAGCCAATCTGCATGCAGCAACTTTGCTCCAAAGTTATAACAATATTCATATACCAATACTTTGCATTTGACTATTTGCCAAAACAAGACCTTATTTAGCATCAATTTTGTGTACATACACTTCAGAAAGAAGATAAACAGATATTAAAAATAACCAGATATTAAAACTCCAAAGTTAAGGTTTGTAATGTGTTGATAAATCAAACACCACATATTTGTATCCCTAGATTGAGCCCCGTAATTTCTACAGAACCTTCATTTCCCAAAAGATACCTTAATCAGACTCTAGTCAAGCACAACAAAATTTAGAAAAAAACACATTCATTTTTATCAAAAGGCAGGAAAATATAACTATCTTCTTTCTATTCTGAAAAGGATTTCTAAATATACCTTCCAGGGGCAAAGGGGTGCCTTTCAAAAATAAGAAGATTCCTTATTTCTGCCAATTGAATAATGATCCAGCTATAACAGGAGCAGACAGAAGACTTGGTTTTGGAGTCATGTGACTTTGCATTAGCTCTCACAGGTTCTCTGTCTCAGTATCTACAAATAAAAACATGGACTTGTCTCTATAAAAGGTACAATATACACAGAAGTGTTTTTCAAACTATCATATATTATCTCCTCAACATGTAAATTTATCCCTGTGAACTGATTCTTCCCCTCCCACTCACAGTGGCCAAAATAATTTATATTAGAATGTGTTCATAGGTGGCTTAATAGCAGTTGTGACAGAAGTGTAAACTAGAAAAGATACTGAATATTTATATACACATAAAGCAGCAAGAAGCCACAGAAAGTTTCAAATGACAAAGAAATGAGTTAGAAAAATGACCCACAGTACACTGGCCCTTCCTGGTTTTAGCAAGTATTTCAGCCAGAAAGACATGGTATTTAAGGAGAAAAATTCACAAAAAGAAAATGTAAACTGAATTCTTTCAAAACTTCACAAAAGGTTATGTTTAAAAAGAAGTTTGGGAACAAGGGAATGCAGAGGGCTATGTTTTTGTCAGGTCTGACTTATCCTTTGCTATGGGTACACTGTCTTTTCATGTGGCCTCAAAGAAATAGTTGAGCCATTATTGTTGTTGATAATGACGAGCAGATGCTGATGGGATGATTGCACATCAACAGTTCTCAGACTCAGGTCTTGTGTAATTGGGTGTGTCAATCTATGTCACTCCACAGATGGTTATTGAACTAGTTACAACTTCCCTAAATCTTTTCACTAGACCTATGCAGCATTCTGGACAGCTATTCCTTGCCAACTGAGATTAGGCACTACTATAAAAAAGTTTTCAAAAAACAATTCCAAGGTCTATTCCTCCTCCCAACATACACACATACACAGAGTTAAATTAGAGATGTTTAATTCAGATAGTAAAATTTTTGAATTTGAAATTTAAAATTTTACCAAAACCATCAATATTCATTTAATGAAGTGAATGTAAGAAATATACTAATTTTGATCTGTCTTGAACAAAAATTACAATACATAAATAATTTTCTGTGAAAAAAATTATACGTATTTTGGATAATCGATGTACCTCAGGAGCAGCCCTGCATCAAAGCTCTCCTCAGGATGGTGGAGAATGGTGAATCTCAGCTCTCACAACATAAAACTGCCAAATTGTTCCTAGGGAAAGAGGTGTATAGCCATGATGTGCTAGATAAAAGTGGCCTTCAGAGAAGAAGCTCTCCACTACCACGGGGCATGGTCAAACATCCAGTTGGATTGCTGTGAGAGTCAAAATGATCCACTTGGCATTTTGTTGAAGGGTCCCTTAAACAAAAGGTACAACATGTGAAATACACTGTCATGGAAAGACAAGTACAGCTTCATTATCATATAGACGTAAACAAGGCAGAGGCTAGGCTAAAATAAAGTGTAAAGTGTGAGTTTGTTAATTTTTCTTTCCCCAAAAACTTTTAACAGACTTAACATTTTAGCCATCATATATTTTCTTCCCTGAAATGTATCAGTTACAGTTCCCATAGGCTCTAGATACACATTTCCTTGTGGGTGTATGTGTAAAACTACCATAACAAAACATTTTCTATTTCCTCATTTTGATTAAAAGGAAAGAAGAAATACTTAACTCCACTTACATAAGTGACAGTGCAATACTGACACACCCATCTGTGTACACAATTTGTATTCTGTTTAATTTTCAAGTTATGATAAGGTAAGAAATGCCAAGAGCTAGGAAATAAAAATACATTCAGAAATAGCCTATGTTGTATGCTGTTGAGAAACC